TGCTCACCCATCACAGTAGCTTCTTTACTATCTTGGCTGTAGCATGCAAGGTGGGAAGTCCTTACACTCCCAAATATTCCCAGTTCCTATGCCTCTGTCCCTCTGTCCTGGTAGGGCGGGGGTGTTTGGGAGATGAGGTGCAGGTGGGACTTACAGACATTTCATGACTTACATAAGATCCTGTACACTAGTAGGGGTAATTTTGCTCACCTCCAATTCTAACTTAGCTCTCTGTACATCATTTCAGGAGAATATGTGAAAGAGGCGAACATTTAACAGATGAAATCTTGAAACGTATCCCTTGACCTCCATGTCCCTGGACCAAATGTTTTCTCTGGTGTCTCTCTTGCTGTGAGTCATCCATGGTGTACTCTGTAAGCTCCCATGACTTTTCAGGGGCTATAGGGTAAGGCTCCTAGGAAACAGTGGGGGCGGACCCTCATCTTGCTCACTGGTAAAACACCAAGAAACGACAGCTGTCTTCACAGTAACAAAATGCAGTAAGGAATGCTCACGCAGGATGCCAATTGGACGGCTGATCCCTCGTCCTTCTCAATGAGACCAGGAAAAGAGTGACATGAAAATGGAATTAATCACCACCCCCTCTTCATGATGCTACAGGTAAGGAGTCCACTGCTGAGAAAATACTCACTGTTTCTATACCTGCCAACAAAAATTTCAAAAATACAGATGTATCTTGCTTTTCATAACTGACATGTCTATTACAACTTCAATTCTGTGAATCCAGTCATAATACAGGGGACCAGGCAGCTCCCATACACAGTGCAGATTAGACAGGACAAAGACTCCATCACCTACCATCTTCATTTCTGCCTGCCTGCAATCTCACCATTAAGAGTCTTACCAGCTTTTCAATCTAATTCAAGTGTCAATAGCTCTAGGAAGGCAAACATCTCTAGCCACTGTCCCCTAACGCTGACAGTGGTTATTTTTTAAAAATCATATCTAATTCCTTAGGGAGGTACAAAAGAGTGTTCTGCTCTGTGTTAGAGGAAGTTACTAGGGTTCAGATACAAAGGGACTGCAGAGGTACACAGAATAACACTCAAGTGGCCTTCACCACCTCTGGTCACTTCTGAAGCTGGCTGTGCCCTTTGAATTCTCCTGTTGAGTCCTTTTATCACGATCCTTTGGACATACGGAGCCTCCACTGATGCATCCTCTAACATCCAGGCCGAGCAAGTACTGCTCTGGGAGTCTGGGTGGTAGGAGATTTATCCTCTCACTTTAACACAGTTATTATCCTTGGGGGATTGTTCAAATCTTTACTGTTCTTTATTGTAGTACTTAGTGGTGTGAACGTTTTTCAACTTCAAGTGAATCAATGGCAATTCTGTAAAATACTTTGAGATACTTGGAGGTTTAGGTACTTCCTGGATTGGGAAATACCTTCTTTAGGGAAAAAGCAGCCCTCAGGCTAGTCATGTTCAAGACCATCTACTTTAGGTAGATAGTCTGTGGATAAAAGGATTGGGGACAGTCCCTGGGCAATGGATGCCCAGGCACAAGCATGTTCCTTCATCGTATTCTTCCTGGTACCGGTACCTCATTTCCCCACCCTCTGAGGTTCCATGGGCATAGTGATCTTTAAGTACATTAAGAAGTGCAGTTTCAGATACAGGTGCATGAAATGGTAAATGTAACAGCACAAAAATGGAAGTGCTAACCCTTAGAGAAATAGGAAGTCTACAAGGAATGAGTTCTGAGTATAACTGTACCTCGTTCCAGGTGTCCCCAAAGATACTAGGCCTGAGACCCAAAGACTCCTAAGGCTTGCTGAGACCTCTGTGAGCTCTGTATCATGCCAAGGGTTCTTCAAGTACTAAAAACTATTAACATTTTCTTGTCATTTGCCTGATTGAGTAATGTAACTCAATGGATAAATTCTGTTTTCGTTTGGCTCCTTTCTGGCAATGAAATCCTCTTTTGAGTAAGTTTCTAATATTTTTTGTTTGTTTGTGTAAGACAGGGTCTCCATGTAGTCCAGGCTGACTTGAACTCCCTCTGTAGCCCAGGCTGGCCTGGAACTTGCAGAGATCCTCTTGCCTTAACCTCCTGAGTGCTGGGATTACAGAAGTGCAACACTCTGCCTGGCCCAAGTTTTTCAGAACCCAATGGCATGAGTTAGTATCATCCAACAAACAGATACCTCCACTGGAAGATTGCTTTGTACTATTTTTCCTTCTAGAATGTAAGAAACAGGAGGGCAGCCCGATCAGGTTTCATCACCATGGTACTTTGTAGTGATGCCAGCATGGTTCTTGCTATGTAATAGGTTCCTGGTAAATTTTGCTAAATGAATAAACAGATGAATACATAAATGATCAACCAGCTTCCCACGATTCCCAAGATTGGCAAGTACTTGTCATATGAAGCTGCTAGGGGGGGCAGTGTAGCTCCGACACAGTTTGAGGTAAGATGTTTAGGAAGGAAGAGGTATGAAGGGGAAGGCCGCAGTTTAGGTAGCCAGGAACCCTAGGAAATAAGCTGCTACTAATGTAATCCAAACCCTTTTCTCTTTTGACCCCTCCTGACCGGGGCTTGCTTAGCAAACTTCTGGAGGAGCCAAAGAATAAATATGTTCAGCTTTGCAGGCCATATGGCTTCCATTGCAGTTACTTGACTTTGCTATTGCAGTGTAAAAGCAACCACAGATCATCAGTAAAAGAATGGGCAGGGGTGGGGCTGTGTGCCAATAAAATTGGCACTGAAAATCAAATCTCAAATAATTTTCACGTACCATGAAATACTCTCCTTTTGTTTCAATGCTTTTTTGTCCTCCACCCATTTAAAATGTCAAAACCTTTCAGCCTATGAGCTCAGGCCTGCAGTCCATAGTTGGACAAGCACTATGGCACCGGTCTAGCCACTCTTTCAAGCTGTGAAGAAATGGAACCTGTCAGAATTAGCCTGTCCCTTCTTCCATGAAAGCGAACTCTCAAGCAAAATAGATTATTGGAACATCACAGGTAACTACTACACCTTCACTTCCAGCCAGGACAGTTTGCTTTCTATTCCAAGCTGAAAACCTGCCTTTAGTTTGACTTAAGACTGAAGGATGAAAAGAAATCCATGACCACATGAGATCTGCAAATAATCGAAGAATACTCTTCAACAATCTATGCCACTTCTAGGCCACACAGACCACACCACCAGAGTGGAGCGGCCAGGAGACAATCGCTTCACTGACTGATGGAATCGCGCCTTTCTCTCTCTGGACTGCGCTTTGCGGAGGGTCAAGAGTAATTAATAAAACAGGTATTTAGTTCCTGAGTAACGACGGCCCAACACTCAAACACTACCCGGGAAAACCAGGACAACTTGGATCATTTACTTCAGACCGTCATTAAGAATTTCATTTTATCAATAAATGCAGAAACATATCACTTTATAAAAGTCACCATCATAAAAATTCAAGTAATATGAGTTATACAGTTTATTCTGTAGAATCCAGTTTTTTAAAAGCCTTCTTGTGCTTTTAAACATACTTGAGGGTGGGATAATTCTACTAGTATTTCTTCTTCTCTATCAACATACTAAATTTAAAGATGTTTCCGAAGACATACAAAAGATTTTATGCTGTGCCCTTTGCTTGTATGTGCACTGTTCCAATAAGTTTGTATTTGTAGTTTGAATGAAAAGTATAAACTAGCTTGAGAAAATAACTTTTGAGAAAAATCCTCCTAAAAAACACGATTGGTCATATAAAATAGTAACTAATTAAAAAAAAAATACTTTCTATCCTGAAAAGGCACAACAAAAAGTTTAAGTGTGTTTGGGCTGATTTTTCTCTGCAACTATTTGAAGCTGTAAATGACTTAACTCAGTAAAATTCCAAATGTAATTATCTTCTGTACTTAGCCTAGGGCTCTCCATATATCTCAGCATTGCTGTCTTGCATACAAAATAGGCTTTTCGATGGCTAGTCCCAATATAATGTACAACATTGTTTTAATTTCCCCTCGTCGGCTAACCTCCTGCCACACTGCACCAGGCAGAGGAAGAAGGCACAGTGAGTCATCAAGCACTCAAAAGCCTTCTGGAACTCGGTTGCATAAATGGGGTTTGCCAGGTCAGGCTTTTGCAACTGTACATTTTAATAATCTCCATTTCTGACCCAATTTTTACTTTCAGAAACTAATTTTCTATTAATTATATGAAGAATGGGATTAGTGTTAATATACGGTGGTTCATCAACAAGTTGTACTGTACCAGGAAGTGGAACCCGCATTAAAACCGTCCCCATCTCTCACCACAGTGGTTTCCTGGGGAAATCTGCACAAGTTCATTTTCTTCCTCAGTCACAAAATTTATCCAACGTAGTTCGGAGGACTTCCAAATACTGTATTTTGTAGCTCTACATATACAGTACATTTATGCACGTTATGTATTATATATGAACATATATATTTATGATATGTGCAGTGAACTGTCACATTATTCTCAGCGATGGAGAGGAAAGGGGACGTACAAAATGAGGAATAAATCCTCGTATCACTTCTACTGCGGCTTTGGAAAATATGTTTTTGTGTGTGCTCACTCGCCCGTCCTGGTCACATGCACTAGTTCTCTCTGCATTCACGTGCATTCTCATTCACTCTCTCCCCAGCTTATCTTCTGAGCTCCAGATTAACAACATTAGCAACTTCACGGGCTTGCACCAACAACAAATAATCAGAAGGCTCAAAAGCAAAGAGAGAATGGCGGGAAAGTGAAAGAAAGATAGGAATGCTCAAGGTGGTAACTGAGCATCAGCCGCATACACGTTACTGTGACTTCCAGAGACGGCCGTGCGTCAGAGAGAGGATGGAAGCCGAGCTGACCCCCAAAAGGTAAAAAGTAAACATTAAAAAAGGACAACAACAGGCTTTTGACTTTCCATTCAAGAATGAGTACACAGGAACTCATTACAGAACACTACAGAAATGGTGGAAGTTGAGGAAGACTTGAGGCAATATTAAAAATAAATATGGCTTTACCTGGAGCTCTAACTGCTGTACAACCTGCATTTGTACTCTACATTGGGCTGTACTTCTATCGTCCAGCGCATGCTCACTGTTGAGATGTCTGCAACAATACATAGAAAATCATTAAGTGAAATGGAGACACAAAAAGGAAAATATAAGTTACCAGGATGTTTAACGTAAGCACAAGCTAGGCAGCAGGTCTAGTTCCCAGTAGTCCCAGTAGCGGAGCAGTGCTGGAGGTTTCCTATCATCACCATTTTAACACTGTCATTCCAAAGAACTTGGCACACTGTTATCACCACGCTAAAAATCTTCCAGGGAGAAGTTCTGCCAGGCATCTGGAGATAACCATTTAATTTACACGTAAATAAGAAAATCGATGAGAGTAAGGAGGGGAGGCATTTCAAGACCACCTCAGTGGGTGGAAACCCGAGACAGGGCCTACTAAGTATTTAATAAGAGTTTAATTTGTGTGGGTCTGAATATGGTCATTTGCCCACAGAAAACTGACTCTACAGAACTGATGAAATGTCCTTACGCTGAAAATGCATCCACATCAATGTCAGGAATGGCACCAAAGGGCAGAACAGCAGCTTTCAACATATGGAACCTGAACCTATATAAGCAAATTATGTACCAGTGGGGGAGGGTCAGCAGACAATTATTTAAAAGAAAAATTCTCTCTGAGTCCTTCATTATTAATTGTCTGGTTATGTAGTTTATGGATGATTTAGGTCCCCTGCTGAGAATGCCCAAATTGTGTTCCTTTTTGTACTTATTAGAATTTCCAACAGGGAAAAGGCCAACAAATTGAAATTTCAGTCTTAACATATGCAGGAACTCTGGTAAGGGGCTAAATCACAGCCTAAAATCTGAAAAAATTCA